CATCTACCACTGCTGCCAAGACCATTCAGGTGTTGAGAAACATTTTTGCTGCACATGGGTTGCCAGATGTTCTGGTGTCGGATAATGGTCCTCAATTTACTTCTACTGAGTTTCAGGGGTTTCTACAAGCCAACATGATCCGCCACGCTGCTTCGGCTCCTTTCCATCCTTCCACCAACGGTCTGGCTGAACGGATGGTTCGCGTCGCCAAGGACGCCCTCAAGAAACTGACTTACGGCAATTGGCATCACAGGTTGGCTGACTTTCTTCTAGCCCATCGTACTACTCCGTGCACTGCCACGGGTAAGTGCCCGGCCGAACTCCATTGGGGTCGTCGGCTCGTGACTAAATTGGACAGGCTGCATCCGGAGCGTGTAGCTTCACAGGTGTCTCAGCCACACCCACCACGGGTCCTGCATGAAGGTGATCCTGTCTGGGCCAGGAATTACGGGCCTGGATACCTCTGGGTCCCGGCTGTGGTCTGCAAGGTCTCGGGGCCTCTGTCCTACGAGGTGTCTTTGGAAGACGTCCGCGTTCTTCGCCGCCACATTGATCAACTACGTGTGAGGCGGGACTCGCCTAGGGTTCCTCCTCAGTCTCCTCTAGGGGGGGAGGAGGAATGGGAAATGCATTCTGGGAATCAGGATCAGCAGCCAACAATGGCTGTGGAGGGCAACACGGGTACACAACACCCACGTTCTGCAAGTGCTCCAAGTAGGAATTCATGGGGCAGGGGGCAAACAGACACCCCCACATGCGCTCCAGCCTGGGAGTCACTCCGGAGGTATACTAACTATCCACACTTCACCAACAATACTCCAGATATGGAGACTGATTGGGAGCATACTCACAACTCACAATATACAAGAGAGCAGGCACAACAAGGAGGGAACATGTCCTTTTCAGCAATGGCTCACAGAAGGATGTCCCCACGTATTAGGGCTAACAGGGAGGTATCCTTGGACCCTATCACTACAGAAAGGAGCCAGGAAAATTACACACCTTCAGGGAACGTTGAGATGAGTTCAGAGGGTCTGGAAAACTCCATAGGTGGTAGGTCAACCAGGTATAGTGAACAGCAGAGTCCTGACTTCACGAGCCTAGGAAACAGGCAGGAAAGGCAGGCAGAAGTCATGAGACAGCCACAAGGTAATTCACCTAGCATGGAAAGCAACCGGGAAAACAATACAAGTTCCCCAGTTCCGAGAAGGTCACTACGGGTAAAAGGCCCTCCCAAATACCTTGCAGATTACGTAAGGTGAGCAAGTATATAGCAACTTGAACTAGAGGTTCAGACTGGTTGACTTGTGGAAACGGGGTTGGGGCACATTGGTTCTCTGAACGACAGAACGGCCCCATATCTCACACACACTGTAAAATTATTGCAACAGTTAGTAATACACACTTTACCATGGTGGTGTCCATGTTGGGCGCAGTATTATTTTATCTAGGGGGGAGGGGTGTTGTGTCCCGAGCCTGCAGAAGCAGGCTCGGGACGTTGCAAGAGTCCCGGGCATTTGCAAAAGCTGCCCGGGACCAGACTGAGCGGCGCCGGCCTTGCACGCATGCGTAAGGCGGGAAAAGACCGCCTTGTGATTGGTAGGAATTGCCCGGGAATCAGAGGGTATAAATAGAGGCCTGCGTGCCTCTGCTTGGGTTGTTCGTTGACTGTAGTCAGAGAATAAAGACATGTTTGGAAATGCATTGCTTCGTGCGCCATTATTCTCCGGACTTAACAATATTAATTGTAGAAATTAATTATCATTGATTTTTTTAAATGTATGAACCCAGACAACACACTGTTCATGAAGCACTAAAGATTGTTATTGTAAAAAATTAATAAAATATATTTAAAAAAACAAAAACAAAGAGTCCAGTTCCACTCATGGGTACGCTGGGGCAGTTTGTAGCAACTTCACATAGTTGAATCAGTTTAAAACAGGCAATCCAGAAATTTTTTTACATTCAGAAGTAAAATTTAAAATGATGGTCATTTAAAGATCAGGTAGAATGATAGAATACTTTTTATGTCTCATGTAAAATATTGTAGGACTTTAAGACCTTTCACTAAAGCAGGAGAGGCAAGAAGCTGGTCTGTTTACACTGGTGTGTTCCTTCAATAGGAATAAACTGATTTTAGAGTTATCCCTGAAAGCGACATCTGGTAAAGAACAATTTTCATTACCTCTTCATCCAATTCGTCCTCTTGTTTCTAATCCGATAAAATAACATTTCCTGAAGCACTAAGTAGGCACAATCTTCATTGAGGGGTCCTTTGTGGTCTCTGAGCTTGCTTGTTTTCTTGAAGATATTTCAGTACCCAAACTAGGTAACATCACCACTGCTAGTAAGAAGTGAGATTTGTTGCCAGTTTAATTCAAACATGAGCTACAAATATTCTCCTTTATTGGTACAATCTTTATTTTGCTGTTTCGAGGGAGCATCTGCTTTAGATTCTTCCCCAAAGTTTTCACAGCCTTTGCACCTGCCTTTACTCAGTGTAAATGTTGCTAGGTTAGTTAGCTGTATCTCGGGATTCCGTCCCGGAGAATGAGTTCCCTATAAGAAAGTACACATTATACTTTTGAAGAAAGCCGTTATTTTGATGGCGTTGATCACCTTGAACCAAGAGATGGCGCCACTGCCCCATATATTCACGCACCATAACTATGTTTACTTCCTAATGGTAGCGGGATCCTCCTCTTCCTCTTCCGGGCCTACAGGACGGAAGAAGAGAGGCGGCGTGGTTCTAACTGGGCGTCGCGTGGATCAAGTATGTGCGCTGTTGTTTCTGCCCGGGTTTTTCTTTCCTAATGGCGAAAAGAGGAGGCAGGGAGGCAAAGCAAAGGGAACATCATCTTCCGTTGCAGGAATGTTCAGCATAGCTTCTCTCGATTCATGTCCCCCAATTATCTTGTAACGCAATTCTCCTCTTGTGCGGCCACCCTGGCACGGTTGTTCTCAGCGCACCTAAGGGCGGGATGGCCGCGGCGGTTCTTAGGAGGAAACAAAGGATTCAATCCTTTCTCTAAGCTGAACCCCCTCGAATCGCTTTCGTCTGAAAAGTTTAAGAAGGTTGCATCAGAAAAGCTGCGACTCTAAGAGAAAAATCGAGTTTACTCTCATTCCTTGTGAATCCTGTAGCTTGGAGTTTTTAGTTTTCTTGCTAAAAAAATTAAAAACCTTGACCTAGACTAATTTATTGACACGGGCATTTGGAGACGCGCGAAGTGTAAAACAGTTTACAGGGTTAAACCTACTGAGTGGACTTATACAAAAAAATTGCAAGCAGCATTACAGGATTTTTTAAAAAACTAATTTGGCACTCCGAATTCTTTGGGAGTTGCAATCCATATGCATATGAAAGAGTCTGAAAGAGGAAGGCCTTTAAATTGTCTAAATTACAATCCTGTTTGCTTCTACTAATAGAAGGGTATCCAGTTATATGTTATGAAGATCCATGCATAAATTCATGCAACGCGTTGCATAGTTGCAAAATTTAAAATTGCTGTATTTGGAATGATGGCTATATTCCTTCACCTTGCTTTTTAGTCACATATTCTGCACAAAAATGTACATTTAACACAAACTAATTTGAACAATTTGCGGCATTTAATTTCTGCCACAGCAGTTTTGAAGTCATTTGTTCATACAAACTGGTAGGACTTTGCATGATTATATTGATAATTATAATGATCATTAGAATTAATAAGGCAGAAATGCAGAATAGGAGGGTAGGTCTTGAGATCGTCTTGCTTCCAAGTTTATCCAAGGTAGAAATCAAGCAGCAGCAAATGCTACTGGGGTACAATCATTCTAATAACTGTTGGATATGCATTCAATTTTTCTGCTCTGATATATTAGAATAAAGGATTATCCCTCTTAATTGTGTGTTGTTTGGTTTGATCAGAATAAAAAAATGACCTTTGGGTTGTGATTCTTCCAAAGCTGGGAGGAAAGACAAAGTTCAGTGTCTGCAAGTTGCCTTCTTTAACTTGGTTCCTTCCAGATAAGTTCAGCCACAAAGACTGCCACTAAATCCAGCTTATTTGGATGGCATTACATCCAAATGTGTATTGAAGATTATGATGTTTTTTCTATATAATTATATTGATCCTGTATCTAGAATCATTATAGCTTGTTGAAAATTTTATATTGCCTTGTGGGCATCTTATCAGTAAAATAGAATTTCAAAATGTCATGAGAAATTCAGTTTTGATGTACCTGGTTTTTCACTGATATTGAGTAATGATGGAAAATATCTTGGCAGGATGAGTAATTTAGTCCAGGGCTGAGCCACCCTTTAGCTCTACAGCTGTACTTTCCTATATAGTGATTTTTGTATATTTCTTTGAGACAAAGGTACAAAATCATTCAGCAGCATGATTTCATAATTTTTTTAGGTATATAAAACTATAGTTTACAAAACCCAGTGCAAACTATCTAGAAAAAATAGACAACACAGGTAGTCCTCAACTTACAAACGTTTAGCGTTTGAGGTTACAACAGCACTGAAAAAAGTGACTTATGACCTTTTTTCACACAACTGTTGGAGCATCCCCTGGCCATGTGATCAAAACCTGGGGACTTGGCAACTGGATCATATTTATGATGATTGCAGTGTCCCGGGGTTATGTGATCACTTTTTGTAACCTTCTGACAAGCACAGTAAATGGGGAAGCCAGATTCACTTAACAACCGTGTACTAACTTAACAACTACAGTGATTCTCTTAACTGTGGCCAGAAAGGTTGCAAAATAGGGCAAAACTCATTTAACAACTGTTTTGCTTAGCATCAGAAATTTTGGGCTCAGTTGTGGTCGTAACTCAAGGACTACCTATAAATCCAGCCCCACACATATATATGTGTATCATTGTTTTCTTCTTGTAGAATAGTATTAATTTGGCTCCTGGCAACCAAACTATAGCCCTTTTCTGGTCTAGGCTCTAAAACAGTGGTAGTCAACCTGGTCCCTACTGCCCACTAGTGGGCGTTCCAGCTTTCATGGTGGGCGGTAGGGGTTTTGTCCGATACTGAAGCACTTTCCTTTTTTTTTAATTTAATTGACTTTTTAAAAAAAATTCATAACATTATTTAAAAACATTTTCATTAGGTTTTCATAAAATTCCCCGTGACAATTTAAATTTCTGAATATATACTATTTGTATTGCCCGCGCATAAGTTTAGTTCACGTTACGTACGTGAAATTAAATGGTGCTATAGTGCGACTGCAAACAAAAGAGCCTC